TTGTGAGGCTGACGGCCCCGCGTGGGGAGCGGCTCAGGTCCCTGGGGTCTCGGGGATGGAATGGAGAGGATGTCGCTTTCCTCGGGCCGCGAAACGCGTCCAGCTCGCGCTCAGGAATTCAGAGTAACCCACAGAGTCGCAGGACTTTCCCTTCTAAGGAAGAGAGAGGCCGCGGGGCCTGGGCCGGGCTGGCGTGAAGGGGCGTAGCTCCCGGCTGGCCAGGCCCGAGTGTGTCCCCAGTGAGTCCCCCTGACCACTCCGGTCTGGCTCGGCGTGGCGCCTACATTCCCTTTCTGGGTCTGGGACGGACAGGAAGGCAGGATGGAGCAATAGACGCACTCGGGGAGCGTGGCCTTTGACACGGGAGCAGGGATGGAGGGGGCCTGCTCTGGGCTCCTGTAGCCGCACACAGTAGGTGTGTTGCGCACAGTGGGTGTGTCGCGCACAGTAGGTGTGTCGCGCACAGTAGGTGCATACCACATGTGATCAGCTGGCAGGAGTGCTCAGCTCCTCGGTGGGGGACCCGCTTCCTCAGCTCTTGTCCTAGGACGTTAATTTGGTTCCGGGACATTCCTTAAGTACCGGGATTCGGCGTGCCCCACGGACTGTCCCTTCAAACTCCTGGGGAGGACAGAAAGCACCAGAGCAGCCCTGCCTGTCCCCTCCCCCCTCCCTCCACCCTCCTCCCTCCCTCCCAGGAGGTTTAAAGCTGGGCTCCTTGCAACCGGGCCCCCTCTTGCCTTTAAAGGGCCGGCCCCTGTCCCTCTGAGCCCCAGGTTGGAGACTCCAGACTAAATAAGGCCCCTCTTGTCCTGCCCTCGAGATCCCCACCTCATTCCAGCGCTCGGGGCAGCCCAAATACGGAGCTCCCGGCCGCCTCCCTGGGGCTTGGCTCCGGACGCAGGGAACAGCAGGCCAAGGCCTCCAGCATTCCCTTCTAGGGTGGGAAGTCAGGACCGGCTTCCTGTAAGACCCTGAATGAACTGGGAATTCCAGGACCCGGCAGGCAGCGGGCGGAGGAGGGGTCTCTTCCCACGGGTCTCCCCCGCAGGCGCCCCTGGGAGCTCAGCCAGAGGGGACCCTGGGCCTGCAGTGGGTCCTCAAGGGGCTCCCTGCCGTGCGGACTGAGCCCCGACTTCTGGATCCTGCTGACAGCTGCCGCCACCGGGCTCTGCTCTGCCTGCTCCCCCTCCCAGAGCCCTGTCCTGCCCACCTCCCACACTCACCCCCTCAGGGCCTCCCCTTCTCACTCCCCACTCCTCCACCCCCCCATTCCATCAGCACCCCCAAGTGCTCCCGCTCCTCAAGGTGTCTTCTTGGCCCAGGATGTGGTCAGGGTTCGATTCCCCATCAGGGCACAGGCCCGGGTTGCGGGCTCCATCCCAGTGCGGGGCGTGCAGGAGGCGGCCGGTCCATGATCCTCTCTCCTGGTTGCTGTTTCTCTCCCTCGCCCTTCCTCTCTGACATCAATAAAAATATATTTTTTTAAAAAAAAGGAAATGTGTTTTAAAAAATAATAATAAATAAATACTAAACTTCCCTTTGGGGCGCATGGCTTCACCTGCACCCCCGCCCCCCAAGTCGACACAGATGGTCCCCCCTGGACCCCAGTGCTGGGAGCAGGGACACCCCGCCCTTCTCTTCCTTCCTGTCTTTTTTCTCCTCTCCTGTCGGACCCGGGACACGTGATCTCTCTCTCGTGGGCAGAGTGAAGTCCTCCCCGGCTCCCTGAGGCCGGGCTCAGCCTGGCTGCTGCCTCCTCCAAACCGGGGGAGGCGCGAGGGCTGGGTGGGGGCCTCACGCGCTCCGTCCCCCCGCCCCCCGCAGTGGTCTGCAAGAAGAACCTGGACAGCACGACCGTGGCCGTGCACGGCGAGGAGATCTACTGCCGGTCCTGCTACGGCAAGAAGTACGGGCCCAAGGGCTACGGCTACGGGCAGGGCGCCGGCACGCTCAGCACCGACAAGGGGGAGTCGCTGGGCATCCGGCACGAGGAGTGAGTACCAGAGACCCCCCCCCAGACACACTCAGCCGCTGCTAGTTAGGCATCGACGGCTCCAAAGGCCGATTTCCAGGGTCTTCGAGGGGCCCCCACAAAGTGCCAGGCCCATCGGAGGAGCTGGGGTCCCGGGGGAAGTAGCCAGGCCGGCGCCTCCCTATGTGGCCGGTTAGAACTGGGAGGGAGGCCCCCCGGGAGGACTCAGTCCCATGTCCCCCTTGTTTTTATATGTGTCTGTTTTTATGTGAGAGAGGAAGGGAGGGGGGAGAGAGAGAAACATTGATGTGAGAGAGGATCATGGATCGGCTGCCTCCTGCACGCCCCACCCTGGGGATGGAGCCCGAAACCCGGGCGTGTGCCCCCGACCGGGAATGGAACCCTGATCTCCTGGTTCCTAGGTCGGCGCTCAACCCCTGAGCCACGCCGGCCGGGCCCCTGTTCACAGATGAGAAAACTCAGCCCAGTGTCAGGGACTTGTCCGGGGTCCCCAGCCGGTGAGGGTCTGAGCCAGGCCGGCCTCTGCCATCTGTCCCTTGGGAATGCCGCAGGGTGTCTGCCACCAGGTCCCCGGCACCCGGTGACCCCTGACCCCTGACCTGCTGTCAGTGGTCCCATCCGTCCGCAGTCACCCCGGCCGGCTCCTCGGCTCCGGGGGATGGACAGACGGAAATGACTGACGGGAGGAATGAGCTGCCACGTGCCAGCCCAGGTCGTGACCCAGGGGAAATGATTGGTCAGCACGTTCGTCCCAGAAACAGTCCGAGAGCGGACAGATGGCGGGAATGGGGACGAAGTGGGCGGATCTCAGTGACGAGGTGTGAGATGATTCCCCCTGGTAACCAGGCGACTGGGGGCCGTAGGGTGTTTCCGGGGAAATAGCATAACATGGTGGGGCCCTGGGTGTCCCTGTCAGGGACATGGGAGACCACCCAAGAGCTCCCCACGGCCCTGGCCCTGTCACCGGCTCGGAGACCTGCCCCCTGCCCACCCCGTGTGAGATGGAGGCGGGGCCGTGCCCACGCGATGCAGACCCACCTCGTCCTCCCTCCTGCAGGGCGCCTGGCCACAGGCCCACCACCAACCCCAACGCCTCCAAGTTCGCCCAGAAGATCGGGGGCTCTGAGCGCTGCCCCCGCTGCAGCCAGGCCGTCTACGCCGCCGAGAAGGTGATCGGTGCCGGGAAGGTAAGGTGGCCACCCCGTGTCATGGGAGGGGAGAGGGGAGGCGGGTCCGTGACGCACCGTCCGGACACGTGGGTTCCGGGACTTGGCACGTCCGCTGTCGCTTTTCTTTCTTAAAAATTTATTGATTTCAGAGAGGAAGGGAGAGGGAGAGAGAGATAGACACATCAGTGATGACAGAGAGTCATGGATCGGCTGCCTCCCGCACGCCCCCCACTGGGGATGGAGCTCGCAACCCCGGCCTGTGCCCTGACCGGGAATCGAACCGTGATCTCCTGGTTCATAGGTGGACGCTCAATCACTGAGCCACAAGGGCCGGGCAGTAGTTGCTAATTTCTTGTTTTCCTCCAGCTTGGAGAGCTCTGGGCAGGGCTCTGGGAAGGGGCTGGGGTTGGGGGTTTGGGGGGTTGGGGGGCCCCCCTCCCGTGTCTCCGTCGCTGGGAGGAGGAGGCAGCGTGCAGAGGTCTGGCGGCCAGGAAATCGGAGTCGGTCCAGTTTGCTCCCTCGCCTCCAGCTCGGGACGGGGGCTGCGCTGAGGGAGGCTCTTTGCCCTTAAAAGGCCTGGTTCTGTCGGGCCTGGTGCCGCCTGCCTCCTGCAGGGCCGTCTGTACCTCCACCCCTGAGCCTGCACGGCTGGGGCTGCTGGAGCTGGTCTCTGAGGGGCCTTCCAGCCCGAGCGGCTCCGTCCCGGCCAGGCTGCCCCCTGGGCCCTGTGCGGGGGTCCCCCCCCCCCGCCACCCCGCTCCTCTGTGGGCCTTTCCTGCCAAGTGCAGGGCATGTCACAGGCCCGTCCTCCTTCCAGAGTCACACCAGGCGCCACTGGCTCAGGGCCCCTCTGGCCAGGCCATCCCACCAGGAAGGCTGCTGGGAGCGGGGGGACCGCCAGCTCCTTCTCCAAGAGGGGACAGCCTTTGGGCAAACGAGGCCCCCCGTTATAAAGGTCAGAGGTCAGACAGCCCCCGCGTACCTAGTTCCCATGCTCATTCTGCCAGGTGGGCAGAGGCCCCGGAGGAGGAAGTGGCTGAGGCCGTGCAGCTGGTAAGGGCAGGGCCTGGGCAAGCCCGTGCCCACCCCGCTGACCCCACAGGTCTGGAGGAGGCTCGGCCGGCTCACCGGTCACTAGGGTGGGGAAGGGGTGCAGTTTGGCCTGCAACAGGGCCCTGGCCTGCAGGAGACCCTGCTCCCCTGGGCTGGGGTCACCCTCGTCCCCGGGGGCAGCACTAACGGTGGGCTCCCTCCCCCCGCAGTCCTGGCACAAGTCCTGCTTCCGTTGCGCCAAGTGCGGCAAAGGCCTGGAGTCCACCACCCTGGCCGACAAGGACGGCGAGATTTACTGCAAAGGTGGGTGTGGCATCGAGTGTCGGCCCGGAGGCCCAGAGGGTGGGGGCTGGATGGCAATGCCCTGGCTCCATGTAAACCGACCCCTGGCCTTGGGGTCAGAGACAGCCCAGAGGGAGGCCTGGCCAGAGCCCCGTGGCACATGGGCTGGGCTGGCTGAGGCTGTCCTCTCTGTGGAGGGGGATGGGCAGGGCGGGGCCAGGACCCTCCTCGCTGTGGGGTGGGAAGCTGCAGAGGTGGGGTGCGGGGACGTCGGGGCCTCGGGTGGCGTGTCTGCAGGGGTCTCTCTCTCCGCAGGATGCTACGCTAAGAACTTCGGGCCCAAGGGCTTCGGCTTCGGGCAGGGAGC